GTGCAATCTTCAACTCCCACCTCCAGGAGGGTTTTTCACATGTCCCGGGTGGGGGGGCATGGAATCCGAATGGGCCATGTTCAGGGCCTCCATTGCAAATGCGACATCCAGGAGCTGTAGCCTGAAGGTCACGGTGCCTGTTGCAGCAGCAACCAAAGGATCCGCTGGTGGACACCAGCAGTGATGGAGGCCGTCAGGCTGAAGAAGGAGGCCTTCTGGACTTGGCTTTCCCGGAGGACTCCTGAAGCAGCTGATAGATAAAGGGTGGCAAAGAGGGTTTCAGCTTCTGTGGTTGCGGATGCAAAAACTCGGGTGTGGGAGGAATTCAGGGAGGCCATGGAGAAGGACTTTTGATTGTCCTCCAGGAGATTCTGGCAAACCATTCGATGACTCGTTCCCTGTCCCTGGCTGTACTTGGCTTGGGTGGAGAACTGCTGACCAGTACTGAGGATACCATTGGGCGGTTGAAGGAACACTTTGAGGATCTCCTGAATCCACCCTCCATGTCCACCTTTGAGGAGGCAGCGTCTGAAGACTCAGGGGAAGACGAGTCCATTACCATGGTAGAGGTCACCAAGGTAGTCGAAGACACCTTGGTGGCAGGGTGTCAGGGGTGAATGAGATTCGCCCCGAGATGCTGAAGGTTCTGGATGTTGTGGGGCTGTCATGGTTGACACATCTCTTCAACCTTGCATGGAGGACTGARACAACTCCTRTGGAGTGGCAGACCGGGGTGGTGGTTCCCATTTTTAAAAAAKGRGATCAGAGAGTGTGTTCTAACTATTGTGGGATCACAATTCTCACCCTCCCCGGGAAAGTTTACTCCAGGGTGTTGGAAGGGAGGCTCMGATCAATTGTCGAACCTCGGATTCAGGAGGAGCAGTGTGGCTTTTGTCCTGGGCGTGGAACAGTGGACCAGATCTTTACCCTTGCAGAGTTGCTACATGTGTTTTGTGGACTTGGAGAAGGCTTATGGCCGTGTTCCTCAGGGAATTCTGTGTGGGGGGTGGGTGCTGCAGGAGTATGGAGTGTCTGGGTTGCTACTAAGAGCAATCTGTTCCCTATATAACCAAAGCAGGAGCTGTGTTCACATTCTTGACACAAAGTCGAGCTTGTTCTCGGTGCAGGTTGGACTCCGCCAGGGCTGTCCCTTGTCTCCAATCCTGTTTGTAGTGTTTATGGACCGGATCTCAAGGTGCAGTCATGGAGAGGAGGGTGTCTGGTTTGGGAACCACAGGGTCTCATCTCTGCTGTATGCGGATTATGTGGTTCTGCTGGCATCTTCAGTCCAARACCTTCGGCATGCACTGGGGCGGTTCACAGCCGAGTGTGAAGCAGCTGGGATGAGAGTCAGTTCCTCTAAATCTGAGGCCATGGTTCTCAACCGGAAAAGGGTGGAATGCCCCCTCTGGGTCRGGGGAGTCTCTGCCTCAGGTGGAGGAGTTTAAATATCTGGGTGTCTTGTTCACGAGTGATGGTAGGATGGAGCAGGAGATGGAGYWACAGATTGGGGCCTCATCCTCAGTAATGAGGGCATTGCTTCTGTCAGTCTTGGTGAARAAAGAGCTGAGTCGAAAGGCAAAGCTCTCGATTTACTGGTCTGTCTTCATTCCAACCCTCACCTATGGTCATGAGGCGTGGATCATGACCGAAAGAACAAGATCCCGGATACAAGCAGCTGAAATTAGCTTCCTTTGTAGGGTGGCTGGGCTCAGCCTCAGAGATAGGGTGAGGAGCTCCGTCATCCGGGGGGGAGCTAAGAGTAGAGCCGCTGCTCCTCCACATCGAAAGGAGTCAGTTGAGATGGTTTGGGTATCTGATTAGGATGCCTCCTGAACACTTCCCTTTAGAAGTGTTCTGGTCATGCCCGACTGGGAGGAGGCCCCAGGGAAGATACAGAACTCGCTGGAGGGATTATRTATACTCTCTGGTCTGGGAACGCCTTGGGGTCCCCTAGGACGAGCTGRAAAGTGTYGCTGGGGMGAGGGATGTCTGGRTTTCTCTCCTGGACCTRTTGCCTCCRTGACCTGACCACGGATAAGTGGAAGAAGATGGAGATGGAGATGTCATAAAGTGATCTTGTCATCTACCACGCAGACATGTTGAGTAGGTCTCCCTATGATGCCCACAAAATTTGGTTGACATTGATTCATGAATATGTAAATCATTGTGAGGACGCGTGAAGGCAGAATGACCCAGGGCGCAGGCAGGTTCAAAAAGGCAAAAACAAGCTCTTTAATAAGCCAACAAAAATGCTGGCAAGGCAGCTCAAAACTCGCAGAATCCTCTTCAGGAAGAACAGCATGAAGAACACACCACAGTGGCCGGCAAACACAATACAATGATGGGACACAGACTGAACACAGGCCACAGAATATAAAGGCAAACAAATTAAGGACAACAAGAAAC